TTACTGATTCGAAGCGCAGGTTTTGATTTTAATTTTAAAAAATGGCAGAATTCATCCTTAGGGATGGGGATCCAAGCCCCATGGGACCCCAAGGGCTAGAAATGTGTACATTTCAAACAACTTCTCTAAATCCGAAAGTGGAATAGTCAAGTTAAATTTTGAGTAGATAGGCCTACATTCTTTAGTGAAGAATACAAATCATCCATGACAGATCACGGTGTGGCCCAATTCGGTCCACGAGAGGGTACCAGATATGGGGGATACTTGTTTCATCTATTTCTTCAAAATCCTCTGACTAGTTACCTCTGACATTAACAATAACCTCTGACATTTTTACCTTTGACATTTTTACCTTTGACATTTTTACCTTTGACATTTTTACCTCTGACATTATATAGGATTTCCCGGCCAAATTCGCGAGTTTGTCATTCAAAATCATTTGTCTTGCGTTCAAATCGACGGTTTTAGTGCTGTCGGTATATCTTGGGTTTATATTCCTTTTTCTAGATTTCAAATCTATGAAGTTTTCGATAGAATCTATGTATGTTTCATTCCAATTGATGAACAAAGTGCTTCTTTCGCTATTTGGTCATTCGATTTAGCGCAACACGATTGTCTGACATCGCGACGGTGTACTTTTAGCATTCTAATTCATTTTTAGCATTCAAATTAGCACTATGTGCACTAAAATTAATGGTCAATATACATTTCTCGTTTATTAAACACTTTATATAGCTCATTCTTTTTCTTTCAAGATCGTTTTTTCATGTGTATTTCATCCTATTTTATTTCTTTTACATAGGAATAGTGCCCCTTGTTCTTTGACAAGTGCCCCTATTAATTTGTTTTAGTGCCTCTTCCCCTTTTCAACTCTAATAAGTGCCCCCTCTTTTGGACACGTACCCCTTTTCCTTCGACAAGTTACCTTTTTCCTTTGCAATAAGTGTCCTTTAATTTCCATTCTCATAAGTGCTCTTTTTAATCTCTAGTAAGTGCCCCCTTCACCTCTGATACTTGCCCTATTCAAATCTGAGAAGTGCCTCTTTTACTTTGTAATAAGTGCCCCTTTCCCCTTTTAATAACTTCCCCCATTTTAACTCCGATAAGCGCACCTTATATTTTCACATATGCCCCTCTTCCTAATGATAACTGCCCCATAAAAAAGAGCCCGTTCCCCTTCTCATAAGTGCCCCTTCTCTGAAAAATTACCTTTTTTAGGTACGAGAAGTTACTCCTTTTCACTTCAGATAAGTGCTTCCTTAACCTCCTATAAATGCCCATTTAAAATTTGATCGGTACCCATTTTCTTTCAACTAATGCCCCTTTTCCTAATGATAAGTGCCCCATTAAAAAAGAGCCCATTCCCCTTCTCATAAGTCCCCCTTCTCTGATAAATGACCCCTTTCAGGTACTAGAAGTTACTCCTTTTCATTTCAGATAAGTGCCCCCTTAACCTCTGATAATTGCCCCTTTAAAATCTGATCGGTGCCCATTTTCTTTCAACCAATGCACATTTTCCTTTATTTTAAGTGCCCCTTTTTCATTCATTTAAGTGCCCCTTTTCATATCTGGTCATTGCCCCCCTTTTCAGGTGCAATAAGTGCCTCTTTTTACCTCTGACAATTTCCCTTTTAACAATGATACGTGCCCCTTTTCCTTTCTAGTAAGGGACCTATCCCCTTTTCATAAATGCCCCTTTTCACCTCCTATAAATGCCCCTATCAAAATCTGATCTGGGCCCCTTTTCCGTCGACAAATACCTATTTCCTATTCTCACTACTGACTTTTTTCATCCCTGGCGAGTGACTCTTTTGATGGTATAAGAAGTGCCCCATTTACCGGTGTGTTGGCTCAGTCAGTAGAGCGTCCGCCTCACTACCGGAAGGTAGGTGGGTTTTATACTCTGGGTTTTATACTCTTTATATACTTTTACATTTATCAGATATTCATCAGCCTTTAAGTTTGATTGTTAAGAAAAAAGACTTACATCTACGGACTTGATGGTCTCAATATTTGTGTAAACTTTCATGTAAGGAAGATGTCTGTCTTGTGTTTCATCATAAATTTATCACAATTTCATTATGGAGAAAGGGTACAATATTGTGACTGGGGTAGGTGTTGTTGTATCCCCACTTTTCCGGGGTATATGAACATGTCCGTTCAGAGATGCCATATCCCTTAATTTCGCCCCTTCTTTACCTAATGTCTGACTACAAACATATGCTTTATCCTCAAAATTAATAAATTAAATAACAGAAAGACCCCAATAGCAAATCATGTATTTAATTGCATTTTCTTAAAGCTGTAAACGTGTGTTGCATTTCTTCTCCACATTTCTAACTTGAATAAACATAATTCGAATACGAATGACAGGTGTTAATTTGAATGATAAAAATGACGCCTCGACAAGTGCCGATTAATTTGAATGCTAGTTGAGCAGTTTCTAAATTGAATGACAGATCTATGAAATCCTTCGACCAAAATCCTAAATTAAATACAAAATCGGGAAAATTGAATGATAGTTGGCATGGCAAAGCTGATCTGCGCTATCTTAAATGCAAAGTAAATGAATTCGAATGACAAACTCGCGAATTTGGCCGGGAAATCCTATATTACCTTTTAGACCCCAAAAGGCACTTAAAAATCTGAAAAGTGTTTGCTTTCTGCCCCTCTTCCTTCGAGTCCCCCGATCACTCCCGCCCTGACAGGAAATCCTGATTCCGACGCTGCCTGACCTAGCGCTTTAATGTATTCGACTTATCGGAATAATAATAGTTGCATGGTAATAACATTCTCTAATTCGTTCTTTTATCGCCATAACATGGAAAAGTAAGCTGCACGGCATGTCAAAAAGTACTTAACGTGTCCCCGTAAATCAGGAGACAGGCCTGGGGGAACAAGATGTATTTCTTCTTTGAAATATTAGTATTCTCCTTTTGCATTCATTCCTTTAATACCTCGCGGCGATCAAAACATAAGCAACCTTTTATTAGAATTTTTTCTTTTTAATATATTTTTTTTAATGATGAAAATTAATGCTCTTTCAAAATAGGTACCCGGTAATGTTGTAAATTTCGCTAGTTATCCCTATTGGCATAGGGCCCAGATAGGGCACATGAGGTTTATATCCACCCGGCAGTAAGATTCACCCCTCCCAACTTGAGGTCCAGGGGCGGATCCAGCCGGTGGCAAGGAAGGGGGCCAAATAGGGGGCCCAATTCGTGATAAAATATTTAGCGGCGAGTCAGCCAGCCGGCGAAAAAGCGAAGGGGGAGGGGGGGGGGGTTGAGGAACACTAATTTCTTTTTCAATTTCGTGAGATATTTAGCGCCGAATCAACACCCCCCTCCCCTTGCGCCAGGGGGGGGGGGAAGGCCCGTCTTCTTCTTTTTTTTATTAAAACAAATTAAATTTACCTGTTTTGGGGCCAGGGTAGGGGGCCCGACCCCGGCCCCCTCCTAGATCCGTCACTGATGAGAACAACATCCCCTAAACAACTAAACCAATCCTTTTCGCTCGGCGGACACGACGGCGACAGCGAAGACTTTCGAAACAAATTCAACAGAACTGAAGACAATTTCAATATTATTTTCAATCACATTTTGAAACGTGTGAACATTTAATGATGCTTAATTATGCTTTCTACGGGATATACAGTAGGTTATTTATTTATTTATCTATTTATTTATTTATGCATGTTCACAATTTTACAATTCATTGGAGTCAGTTAACATCACATAAAAGAAATATATAACAAATCCATTTGAATTGACTTCACGTGAAAAAGAATATAACAATGTTTTATCAAAGACAAGTTTAGAAAATGAACACACAATAAAACATAAACAAATAGAGCTTGAATCGTTACAACAACTTTCAAATATATAATATATGACAAATAAAATTCATACAAAGAACAAGAAAAAATGAAGAAAAACAGAAAAACAAAGGTATGTTGGATATAATAAGAACTGATATATAAATTATTATGTAAGTAATATCTTACATCTGTAAAATGATAATACATTTGAGCGCTTTTTTAAAGGAGTTTGGTGATTTTGTATTTCGAATATTGGTAGGTAAAGAATTCCATACATCTGGACCCCTATGTCTGATTGATTTCTGGGCTAATGTAGTGTGAGGATTGACCACATGTAAATTCAATGACTGCCTTGTTGAATTACTAGTGAACCATGTCATTAGGTTGGAACATTGAAGATAATGAAGTAGGTAACAATTTGATATTGAAACGGAACATAAATATGGCAATTTTGAGCAAATTCCGGTGTGTAAAGTCAATTTTGTGTATTTTTTGTACGAGCCGGACTTTGGTGCGTGAACAGTACCCCTTTACCGGACATTTTGGTAACACGCATGCGGTCATTCTGACCCCGGAGTGGGGAGGGGGGGGGGGGGGGGGGGGGGGGGGGGGGGAGGGGGGTCCGGGGTTACAGGTGAAAGTATACACATGAAAATTAATGTTTACCTTTAGACAGTTTCAAAAGATTGAGGAAAACTGAGAGAAGAGGAAAAAAGAAGGATTGAGAGAGATGGTGAAAACGAGATAATCCCTTTCAACATCCTTCCTCATTTGATAGTCGTATTTTAAAAACTATCACTAAAGGTTAAACTTACAACTTTAAATTTCTTTTACAAAATCAATATTTATGATCACTGCCAGTTTGATTTTAATTGAGTTTTTGCATGGCGCCATCTCGTGTCCCCACTTCATTCCATGCATTTCGTGTTGCTGAGCTCAGGTGCAGCGCTGTGAAAGAACCTGTCCCCCTCTGCAAGTTACTTTAGTCACACTTCCTCCACATCAATAATTTGTGAATTGAATCTCAAATCAAATTTAGACATGGAATGAAAATAAATTTACTTGAAAAATTAATTAAAAATCATTATTCAATCACATGTAGGATTTAAAATAATTCTCGAACTTTGATTGTTGGTAAATTGACACCAAATTAGACCCTGATTCTAAATCGATGAGGGAGTAAATTTTAAAAACAGAATATCCAATCTACGGCCGCACATCTTTTTCTCACTGCACAACGTTCAACTGTGTGCATGTACGTCTGCTGCTGGCTCTGTCGCCTAGAATCGTGAATTTTGGATAGTCTTTTGGCGACTCTGGGATAATAAGCAAGTGTAGGTGAGTAATGATCCTAACAGCTTGTTGCTTTATATGTCGATTTTCTTGAAACCTTGTAAGATATCTGTTGCCCTGGTGTCATTTTCTGTTCACGATCCGTGATCGCCTGTGCCCGTTTTTTTCACGGCATCGCACAGTGTACTGACCTTGGATTTGAAAATGACTTAAGCCAGCGCCCCTTTTTACGTTCGCATGTATGCACACAAATCTCTTTTCAATTGGTGTACAAGAAGAGCGAAGTAAGCTGTATTGTGAAAACGTGTTTTATGATCTAACGGTTAATATGAACAACAGTGTGCAGTCTAGCTTTTAAATCTAAGTATATCTATTATCTATCATCCTATCTCCCTTGATTCTTGAACCGAGTACAGTGCTGTGTGAGTGTGTGAGAGCTGAGCTGTGCCTGACAAAACTGAATCCTTGTTATTTCTTGCAGACAGTACGTTCATTATAAATTACGATGCTAGGTTTCGATCTAAATTTACACAGTCAAATGTGTCTGAATAGAATGATGACAGTGTCTGCCGCAATGTTTAATTTGTATGCAAGACTATAACATTTATACTGGTACACAAGTACAAAGTGTCTCACAAAAGTGACAAAACCATGTTCTAAATTCTATCAACATGTGTTTCAATAAGTAGTAGGGAGGGGGTAACATTTTCTTTTCGAACAACAACCAATGAGAAACTGAGGAGAGCTCTTAAACAGGAATTAATCTTTATTTCGGGCAATCTCCATACCATGGTTGTCCTTCCTGTATCTTTTTTGAAATTGATATTACACACTGTATTATTTTTGTGTGCTTTTATTGTCTTTGTTATCATTTGATGTTGTGCTCAGGGAAATCAAATAAATGAATAAATGATGTTAATAAATAGAAACAGATGTTGGCAAACTAGTTGTATGTAGACCTACTAGACCTAGATCTACTTTTGATGTCTTAATGGGATGCTGCCCTTTCCAATAGTGTCTGCAAGTATGCAGCCACAGAGTTGCTAATTTTCATGATACCAGATAGTTTGATAGATCTCTGGCGACAGGCGGGTACTAGATCTATTGAACTACATTGTAGGTACTACTGGATATTTTCAGAGTAGACTAAGGTGTAGAGTATTAATAATATTGTGTCTGCAGTCTTCGTTTTATGCCGGCAAGTCAGCTACATGTAGTACACAACAACTAGTGCTGTAGCCGAACCGCCGAACCGAACGGAAGTTCGCCGAACATGGCACTTCCGAACCGAACCGAACCGAACCGAACGCAAAGGCCTGGTTCGGATGTTCGGCAAAAAAAATGTTAACGTTTTTGCAAGCTAATAAACTTTTCATTTTGTACCTAATTTTCATGTTATGATTGCTCATATTATATTTACTTTTTTTCCCATTTTCCGCCCTTGTGATTTATGCCTATCCAGTGGTGGGCGCAACTTCACTGGCGCCATTTAAATCCCAAATCCTGACCACGCTACGTCGCGATCGCAAGCCATAAACAAGAATACATGTGCGTGATCAAAACAAGTTTAGCTCAATTTGCTCAAACCCGTTGAACAAAACATTAATATTTTAATTGTAACCATATCGGACAAATTTTACAATATAAATAATGAAATAAATATTTATTATCGTATGGTATTTATTTATTCAGGAAAAATAGGGATTTTATATTTTTCCTATTGAAAATAAAAACTTATAAAAAACAGTTCTTGGCGAGCCTGAAAATTTCTATTCAAGATGGCACCTTGTATGACTCTAACATTAGACAACAACCGTCTCGGAAAATCTTTTAAAAATATCATTGATTGACAAATTGAAAACATGATTCTTTTAAAATTGAAAATAAAACACGATTCAAGACGGAAATACGAATGTAAGTAGTATTTTTCTTCACAAATAATTACGTTTAGAGCAGTTTTTTAATGTGAAATTTGTGCTGGTCGGAAGCAGTGTGCAGAAGTCCTCTGTGCCGGTCGGGCCCGGCAGGGCGGGCGGCCTGCCCAGTCCCGACCGCCGTGGCTATAACGCTGCTTGCTATTAAATTACCGAACCCCGAACCGAACCAAGTTCGGGTGAAAAATTGCCGAACTCTGCCGAACCGAACCGAACACGAACATAGCGTCTGACTTACAGCACTAACAACAACGCTGACCGTCCTCCAGACTTAATTCGTCCAAGCAGAGGAAAATACTCCTAGGATGAATCTATGTTTGAATATTACTCACTATTACCATTGGGGAGGGGGTACTCATATTATTTTGATTTTGATTTGCCACCGAGGTGCTCCCAATTCTACCCTTCTAGCGGTGCATGCGCACTCTAACGTGCAGACATGTAGATGTATGAGTGCAGTTCTTGTACACGTACATTGCCCAAGAAGCTAGAAGTATTCTTGTATTGCAGCTGAACTCTGGTACCAATATAGTCGTGCAAGTCAGCTATTAACCATCATATATGTGTCTGAGTTCAAGCCTTGGGATTGAGGTGGGGCATGACATGATAGACTTGAAAAATTTGGTATCAGGGATGAAAATACTATGTCTTTTGGTGTCACACAGATGACAGAGGGCCCAAGTCTAAAGATCTTGTTCTATAAAAGTGGGACCCAAGCCTTGGGATTGAGGTGAGGAATGACATGATAGACTTGAAAAATTTGGTATCAGGGATGAAAAATACTATGTCTTTTGGTGTAGCACAGATGACAGAGGGCCCAAGTCTAAAGATCTTGTTCTAAAAAGGTGGGACCCATGTCGTTTTACACTTCAGTTGCTTTTCTTTACGGTTGCTCATTTGCCACACGTGCAAATTTGCACAAAATGATATCCCCCAATTGATGGAAGGATTGCTTGGTGCAGAATTACCCATTTCTGGTCTCGATCAGTTCCTTGACAACCCTTTAAACACCAGTATAGATTAACCTTCCACTAAAAACAATTCATTAACCTTCCAATAAAAACAATTCATTAACCATGGAGCCAGGAGCCTTTGATCTCTATCCCATGATAAATACTATGTAGTGCAGGTTTGTGTGGCATACAAAGAGTTAACAAATAATAATAAATTGATGAAATTGCTCATCTCTGTGGGACATTACTGTAGTCGTGGTTACTGAAGAGATAACAGATCATGGGCACCAGGGTGCTGCAACTCTAATATATAAAGGCCATGTGAAATTGTTTTCTTTTCAAGATTCTGTTTCCCACCCATTTCTTTTGTCTACATACATGTACATACAGTGTACTTCCTTCCTTTTTCTATAATTGGGGTAGTTTTTCATTTTATTTGAGATGGTAATTCAGCCATGTGCATTGACATGAAATATTAAATCTTTGTGACTCTTCTGTGATTTGACCTGTGTTGTGCATGTACAGTACTAATTACTAATGATGACAAAACAACTTGTCTTTTGGATTGATAACTGACAAATCAACAATCAAATAATATTAAATGGCATGTACTGGTACATGGGGGGGGGGGGGGGGGTGGGGGTTACAAAATCCATCAACTTTCTCTTGACTTTTGTGTTAAACATTTATTTCTAAAAAAATTGTACACTGTAACTGGTAGACAGTCAAGTCAGGAGGTTACAGCATGTCAGGAAATCGTTTCAGGTTCCTATAAGTGTTTAGTACACCCGGATAGAGAGTAGCAGATCCAGATTAATGTCTTGCTCAGGGGCATCCGTGCCATGGAGGGATACAAACCTATGGCCGTACCATCTTCAGTCAAACCTTTTAGGGTATGATATTTAGCATCCACCCTATTGGGGAATACATCTTGTTCAACAATTTGCTACTTGTTTGTATCTGAAAGTTTCTTTTGATGTTGTCTGCTGTGCATTTGATGAGTAGGGTTACTAGGTTAAGATAGTATAAAAGACAAGGTAGTTGTGAGAGTTTTATGTTATTAAACTTGGAGCAATCAGAACAACCTCGTTCTATTTCATTCCTCTTTATCTTACAAGTGCTGATGAATTGAGATTCTACTCAATATGAAGTGAATACCATGAAGCGGCATTAAAACATACCTGGGGGGTGTTTCACAAAGATCCTAAGTCAAACTTATCTCTAAGTTGGACTTTAAAATTATGGAAAGCTGTAAGCATATATGAAAATATTTTGTAAAAGTTATTTTAAAAGGCATAAAATGTTGATTCAAATCATTCAAATTATCTTTTATCAAGAAGATTTTACGTTCTTGATGTGGAATTTATAAAAAGTTGAAAATACTTGAATTTTCGCTTTTTAATATTTTTTTTTTTTAAAGGCTACAAATGGCTCTTCATAATTTTTAAGTCCAACTTAGAGTTAAGTTTGACTTGGGATCTTTGTGAAACACCCCCCTGCACACATAATTGATGTGCCTCATGAATCAAGTATTAAAAGGAGTTGCACTGGAAATTAAGAAAATGAATATGTTGGTAGTGGTTGATATCTTGAAAAATTAACCGTTTTACAATCATGTAAAATGAATACACTCGCCAGTCACCACCATGGGCAGCCAGTGTTGTTTGACAGGAATGATTGTCACTTGATCTGTATACGATACATGCAGATTTCTTATTATTATTTGTTTTGGTTATGTTGTGGGGTAAATGGGTTTGATACAGTACATGTAAATAGTACATAATTTGTGCTCTGTACTTGTTGACGAGTAGCTCTACAAGTCCTGTACTGTACATGCAGCCGCCATTGATGAATAACAAAGAGGTGGTTTAATTGAATCATTTTAATTATATGCAAAAAAAAGCCATCTGATCATTTTAAGAGAATCCCTTTCGACTTGATGAATTATTTAATCAGTCGAGCCATTTATAAATTACCACCTACTTTGCATGCAGGCGGCGAGCATTACGCATTTCCATTGAAAGCTTATTGTCTTGCAGGCTTAATTACTGGCCCAATATAGTCCCTCCGGTTGTATTGAAGCTGACACACCCTGCAGTGAAGTGGATGTGTCTTGGGTGTGTTGGATGATAGCACTGTCACAGTCTCAGACAGGCAA